AAAAATTAGCTGGGTGTATTGGTAAACGTCTGTAATCCCAGCTACTTGGGAGGCTGAAACAGCAGAATCGCTTGAACCCAGGAGACATAGGTTGCAGTGAGCCGAGATCACGCCACTATATACTCCAGCCTGGGCCACAGAGTGAGACTCCATCACAAAAAAAATAAAAATAAAAAAAGGTTAAGCATAATTTACTGTGCAACTCAGCAATTCTGTGTCATCCATTCAGTTGGATATTTTCATCAGTAAAAAGAAATTGTTACATGCTGCACACATGCTACAAACTTCAAAAACATTGTTAAGTGAAAGAAGCTAGACACAAAAAACTTCATAATATATAATTCTATTCATATGAAATGTCCAGAATAAGCAAATCTGTTGAGTTAAAAAGTAGTGATTACCTGAGGTGAGACTAGGAACCAGGAGTAACCACAAATGGGCATGGGGGATCTTTCTGTAATGATGGAATCATTTTTAAATTGGATTTTAGTGATGGTTGCATAACTAAATTTTTTTTACTAAAAATTAGTGAATTTTACATTTAAGTGAATTTTGGGCTATGTAAATTATACCTCAATAAAACTGTTAAAAATACATTAATACAGAAGGGGAAGAAGACAGTGCTTTTAGATAGGAGGAAACAGAATTGTTTGTGTTTGTAGATAATATTTTAAAAGATGACTTGAAAAACTGTTGCTAGTCATTAAAGTATAAATAATAGAAATGGAGGAATAGTTGATAGTTAACAGTATTATTCTACTTTATAAATTGAAAGCAATTCAAATAAAAATTACAGACTTTTTAAAAAAAACTTGATACAATGTCTAAATTATATCTAAAATGCTGATTATATGAGCATAGCAAAGATATTTCAGAGAAAAATAATGAGGGGCCTTGCAAGTGTAAAATTAAAATGTGTATAAAGTTGCAATAAAAAGGACAGTGAGGTATTGGTACATCTGTGGAGTGGAATTCAAAGATCAGGAACAAAACGAACAAAACCAAGCACACACAAATAAGTAAAGGTGATATTTCAGATTTTTGGGGAAAGAATAGACCCTTCATGGGCTGGAACAATTATTAACTATTTGGAAAGAAATTATAACTATTCAGAACAACAATATTAGTTAACATTTATTATGGTGCTTACGTAAAACATTCACGAAAGATTAGGGAAAATATATATGTACATATGTCTCTGATTTCTGGGTGGGAATCTACATAAATGTGTACATATACACAATTGACCTTTGAACAACACTGAAAACAGCTTTGAACACAGCAACGCTGACTTCTGCCTTGTGCAGTTGAAAAATCCATGTATAACTTTTGACTCCCTAAAAACCTAACTGCTAATAGCCTACTGTTCTCCAGAAGCCTTAACAATAACATAAACAGTTGATTCACACATAGATTGGTATCTACATGTATTTCATGCACTTAAAGACATATTTTTTTAACTTTTTTGATATTTTTAGACTAGACCGTTTGTGAGTTTTTTGAAATTACTGCACATCTCCAAAACATTTTTCAATATATTTATTGAAAAAAAAAATCATGTGGTTGGGCATGGTGGCTCATGCCTGTAATCTCAGCACATTGGGAAGCCAAGGTGGACAGATCACTTGAGGTCAAGCGTTTAAGACCAGCCTGGCCAACATGGTAAAACCCCATCTCTACTAAAAAATAGAAAAAATTAGCCAAGTGTAGTGGCGCGCACCTGTAGTCCCAGCTACTTGGGAGACTGAGGTGGGAGAATAGCTTGAACCTGAGAGGCGGAGGTTACAGTGAGGCAAGATCATGGCATTGCACCCCAGCCTGGGCAACAGAATGAGACTCTTGGTCTTAAAGAAAGGAAAAAAAAATCATGTATAAGTAAATCTGCACAGTTCAAACTCATGTTTATCAACTCAATATATTTTTAAGTATAAAAATTAGGAAATATATAGGAAACACAGTTTTGGCCACATAAAAGTTGTAAACTTATCTATGTCATAAATACTATAGAAGACATTAAATGTAAACAACTCCAAAATAATATTATGTGCAGGTAATGGATAAAAGCCCTAATACATCAAAAAGAAAGGATAGCTCAACTGAAGCTTTGACAAAGGACATGAATTTGTAATTCATAGAGGTACCACAAATAACTTGTAAACCTAAGGAAAAACAACTGCTTTTCTCTACTAATCAGAGAAATGCAACTTAAAATTACATACTACTTCTGTCCTATCAAATTGGAAAAAATAAACTAAGAGAATGCAAAAGTCTAGATTACTTGCATACTTTTATTTGGAAAATAAGTTTATGCATCCTTTTTGAATAGCAGTTTAGTAATTTAAGTCAAAAGCTTTAAAAACGTTTATACTGTTTGACCCAGAAATTCCATTTCTGTGAGTTCATTCTAAGGCAACAGTTGTACAAAAAGATGATTTGTGGAGGGATTATCATCACACCTTTATTTAAAGTATTTATAAAGAGAAAACCTACATATTAGACAAAAATTTGTGGTACCTCCATGCAATGGAACCATGTGGAAGAAAACTTAGTGATACAGAATTTAATAATATGTTCTGTGAAAATTTTAGTATGTACAGCATGGCCCCAGTTTTTTCTTTTTTTAAATTTTGATTGGAGGATTAGAAAAAAGGACTAACTCATTACTCTAGGTAATAGGATCAAAGATTATTTTGGTTCTTGTTTTGAAATTTAAAAAAATGAATATGTAGTACTTAAAAATGTAAATCTCAAATGTTATTTCTTTTGTTTTTTGAGACAGAATCTTATTCTTTTGCTGAGGCTAGAGTGCAAGGGTATTATATCTGCTCACTGCAGCCTCCACCTCCGGGGTTCGAACAATTCTCGTGCCTTAGCCTCCTGAGTAGCTGGGATTATAGGCCTGTACCACCACACCTGGCTAATTTTTGCATTTTTAGTAGAGACAGGGTTTCGCCATGTTGGCAAGGCTGATTTAGAACTCCTGACCTCAAGTGATCTGTCCATCTTAGCCTCCGAAAGTGTTGGGGTTACAGTTGTAAGCCAGTGTGCCTGGCCTCAAGTGTTATTCTTTAAACAGTGTTACCACCTTAGATGGCATTAGTTGCATTGTGTGTAGTGAAAAGAAAATGAATGAGCATGATTGATGCACAGTCGCAGCAGAAAGGAAAGAAGTCTCTCTGTGCTCTGGTCACCAGTACTGTAGGCCAAATGCTGCTTGCTTGTCGCTCTGCCTAAGTAGTGCTATATAGCAGTACAGACGGTGAGTCTAGGGAAAGGCATAAACTGGAAGGGCTAGTGAAGGATTTTTTGCTTTTTTAAATTTTCCTTGAAGAAAGAAGAAGTGAAAGAGAAGGGGGAAAATGTTTTCAAATTTTTAAGGAGAGATGGGCAAAAGTGAAGCAGAATGATTGGATCCATAGAACAGATTGGAGATTTATTTTTGTAGAAGGGATGTTTCTTCCTTTGAATCTGCAGAGTAGATGGGAAGCTACCTGTGTTGGCATTTTAGATTCAGGAAATATCAGCTGTTATAATATTTTAACATTGGGTTCAGAAAGCTCACTTAGGGATTTGTGCCCTTTTTATAGAAGGAAAATTTTAAAATAGAATTCTAGTATTTAAAGATGATTTAATACTGCCTTTCTTGTTTTTAAATAGCTGTCTCAGGAAGTCTTTTTAGAATAAACTTAGGCCTGCGTGGCCTGGTGGCTGGTGGTATACTTGGAGCCTTGCTGGGGTAAGCATTAACATGGTTTGATTTTAAATTGGCACAACTTTCATTAATGCCTTGCCTATTAAAAAGTCTCACTTATTTTCAAAGAAAATTTAGTCCTTAGAATCGATAAAAGATCCCTAGTCTTGTATTGGCAGTAGTTTTGACTGTCCAGTTCTAATTCTACCCCAATAGTTTATCTTGTTTACAGTTTTTATTTATACTATAGTTTATTTTACTTAAAAATTAACACATTTTACTTAAAAGTTATCACAATAAATAACAGTGATTCAGTACACCTATCTAAGATAGGGCCCTTATTCAAAATTCCTTTTTACTGGGTAAAACTGTTTAAATATTGCTAACACCTGAAGCTATAGTTTGAACAGAGGTATTTATGGGAGCAGGGAAAAACCAACAAATAGTTAACAAGCATCTCCTTCCTTAACAAGCCCATCCTCCCTCCCTCGCTCACTCCCTCCCTCCCTCCCTCCCTTCCTTCCTTTTGTGTTTTTAGTAGAGACAGGGTTTTACCATGTTGGCCAGGCTGGTCTTGAACTCCTGACCTCATATCCACCCGCCTTAGCCTCCCAAAGTGCTGGAATTACAGGCGTGCGCCACCACACCCAGCCAACAAGCATATTCTATAAAAATTTTTGGTGAGATTTAGGTTTTTTTGCTTAATACATTTTTTTTAAAATGTTATTCCCCAACTTTTTACTTTGAACAATTTCAAACCTGCAGAAAAATTGAATCAATTAATACATTGAAACCCCATGTACCCTTCACCTGGATTCACCAATTGTTAGCACCTTGCTGATGTTTTCCATATCTCTGTGTATGTGTGGGATGTGAATATATTTCGTTTTCTTTCCTTTTGCTTCTTGGCTAAACCGATTGAGAACTCGTGACATTTTACCCCCATATATATCAGCATGTATTTTCCAGGATGAAGAATACTCTTCCATGAAATTGTAATGCAGTTGTCACAGTAAACATAGCGCATAGTGAAAGGAAAATGAATAAGCAACTATCTAAGGGCCTATATTCAAAATTCCTCAATTATCATACTAATGCCCACAATGTTTCTCCATTTTGTTTGATTATCCCATCATGATTAGATTTATGTTTAATGTGTTTTTGTCAGGAATACGTACAACATAGGTGAAGTTGTAGCCTCAGCATATCACATCAGGAGATAATTCTGTTACCTATTATAAGTAATATTAACTTGAATTACTTGATATATTGGTTTTCTACTGCTGTGTAACAAATTACCACAAACTGAGCATGTATTGCATATAAAGCAACACCCTTGTAGTTCTGTAGATCCGAAGTCTGGCTAGGTTTCTCTGCCCAAGGTTTTACAAAGCCAAAGTCAAGGTCTTGGCCGGGCTGGACTCTTACCTAGAGGCTCTGGGGAAGAATCTGTTTCCAAGCTCATGTTCTTGACAGAATTTTGTTCCTTGTGGCCGGGCACAGTGGCTCACACTTATAATCCCAGGACTTTGAGAGGCCAAAGCGAATGGATCACTTGAGGTCAGGAGTTCAAGACCAGCCTGGCCAACATGGTGAAACCCTGTCTCTACTAAAAATACAAAAATTAGGCAGGCATGGTGGCAGGAGCCTGTGATCCCAGATACTCAGGAGGCTAAGGCGGGAGAATTCCTTGAACCCAGGAGACAGAGGTTGTAGTGAGCTAGGATCATACCACTGCACTCCAGCCTGGGTGACAGAGTGAGACTCCATTTCAAAATAAAAAGAATTTAGTTCCTTGTTCCTGGAGGTCTGAGGTTCCTGTTTTCTTGCTGCCTGTCAGCCAGACTATTCTCTGTTCCTGGAGGCCACCCACATTTCTTGTCCCAAGGCCGCTTCATATTTAAACCAGTTGCAGCACATTGACGACTCCAAATACTTTGAATCTTCAGCTTCCACTCTGCCACCGGCCAGGGAAAATGCTGCTTTTAAGTGTTCACTCAGATCTCTGTCTCCTTGTTCATTACCTCAGATTCAACTAATTAGCAACCTTAATTTCACTTCTAAAATCAGTTTTTCCATGTAAGATAATATAATCATGGGCATAATACCATATTCATGGTTGGGATTAGGCAGGAAATTTGGGGGGACCACTTTAGAATTCTGCCTACTGCACTTGGTTCTGGTGTTATCTGTTTGGTGTCTCCACTGCAAAGATATCTTTTTCCTAATGTGATTAATTAGTAATCTGGAGGGTGAAACTGAATATTCTGCTCTCCAGCTATCTTTTCATCATGTGTTTTTAGTGATACATTGACAATCCATGCTGTAATCTGTTGGTTACTAGAAAAGTGGTGGTAAAATGTTTATGAGCTAGTTGTGTCAGTCCTTCTGTTTTTATTAGTTGCTATCTGACTAGAAGAGTTCTCCCTTCCTCCCTCACCTGTTCACCCCTTTGTCTACTTCCTTTTAAGGAGAAGATGATGCTATAGATTTAACGACTTCTTAAAAAATTTAAATAAAATCGCATGTCATAATCTACTGTTGCCATTACTTTTGTTGTAGTGTTAATATACCAGTTTGGTTTGAAGGGAAAAGTTGTAGAAGTTAGCAACAAAAATATTTTTTATTATGGTTATAAACAAATAGCATAACATTCACCATCTTAACCATTTTTAAATGTATAGTTCAGTAACACTAAGTATATTCACATTGTGCATGACATCTGTAGAACATTTTCATCTTGCAAAATGAAACTATATCCATTAAAAAAACTAATTTCCCCTCCCCACACCCCCCAGCCCTCAGCAAACATGTTTTTACTTTCTGTTTCTATGATTTTGACTACTTTAGATACTTCATATGAGGAATCATACAGTATTTATCTTTTTGTGACTAGCTTATTTTGCTTAGCATAATAATATCCTTGAGGTTTATCTATGTTGCAGCATGTGACAGGATTGCCACTTTTTTTTTTTGAGACCGAGTCTCGCTGTGTCACCAGGCTAGAGTGTAGTGGCACAATCTCAGCTCACTACAACCTCCATCTCCTGAATTCAAGTGATTCTCCAGACTCAGCCTCCTAAGTAGCTGGGATTACCAACCACCACACCCAGCTAATTTTTGTATTTGTTAATAGAGACGGGATTTCTCCATGTTGGCCAGGCTGGTCTCGAACTCCTGACGTCAGGTGATCTGCCTGCCTTGGCCTCCCAAAGTGCTGGGATTACAGGCATGAGCCACTACACCTGGCCTGCCCTCTTTTTTAAGGCTGCATAATATTCCATTGTATGTGTATATCACATTAACCATTTGTCAGTGGACATTTAGGTTGCTTCCACTTAGCAAAAATAGTTTTTAACATGAGGTTAAATTATAGATGGAGGAAATTTAAGGTAGGTGAAGGTCAAATACTCCTAATCCGAGAACACAAGAACCAAACTCTTTATCACTATAATAATTATTAACTAAATCAGTTTCTCAATGGGTTGCTATTGGCATTCTGGGTGAGACAGTTATGCCAGACTCTTGAACTTTAGGATATTTTGGTGATCCCATCCCCAAAAGCCAGTATAGCATCCCTTTCTCAACCAAAAATGCCCTCTACATTTCTTGTCTCCTAGAGGAGCTGGGGCCATTCTGAACTAGAAATTTCATTTCATCTTTGGTGTGGGGCTACTTATTAGAACTTGTCATAAATATATATTTTTTTCCCTCTTTGTTTTGATTTATTTCTCATTTCTCATGAAAACAGCCAGTTTCTAGATCTGTTGTTTTGTTATATATCAGCCAACTTTAGAAGGCTGTAATGATTGTTTTTCTCTGTTGTTCAGTCCAGGGAAGAGATTACCTTATTTTTTTTTTTTAATTTGACAAGGACACTTTAATTCTCAAATGTTCCTATACCTGATAGTGAACAAGTGGCTCTGGTGTTGCTCACGTCTTAGCAGAGAATCTCACAAGTTGTAAGGTCTAATGACTCTTTTTTCCTGAGCTTTTCCTCTCTTTTCTTCTCAGCACTCCTATAGGAAGCCTGATGATGATAATTCAGAAGTACTCTGGTGAGACTGTTCAGGAGAGAAAACAGAAGGACCGAAAGGCACTCCATGATCAAAAACTGGAAGAGTGGTAAGGAACATGTTAAGCCCAGGGAATCTTGGCTGTCTTATCCCCAGGCCTTATATAGTGGTGCCCTGTTAAACTCATGTACTTTAAACTGCTACTCAATTCAAGAAGAGTTTATTTTTACTGATACAACTCGTACTATACATGTATTTTAATCTATTTAAAGAGAATGGAAAAATGAAAGACATTAATTTTAGTTTTAATTTAATGAAGATCTTTCTTTGTATATGTTCTTTTTAAGTTAAAATGTTGTAAATCTTATTTGCTTGCGTGTTTTTTCTTTTCCTATGTTCTTGACTGCATAGGAAGTTACCTAAAGAGAATATTCATCAAGGAGTGAGGTTTACTTGGCATATTTAAAAAGTACATCCTTTGCTGGGTGGGGTGGCTCACTTCTGTAATCCCAGCAATTTGGGAGGCTGAGACAGGTGGATCACCTGAGAGCAGGATTTCGAGACCAGCCTGGACAACATGGTGAAACACCATCTCGACTAAAAATAAAAAAGTTACCTGGGCGTGGTGGCACACACCTGTAGTCCCAGCTACTTGGAGAGGCTGAGGCAGGAGAATCACTTGAACCCCGAAAGCAGAGGTTTCAGTGAGCTGTGATTGTGCCCCTGCACTCCAGGCTAGGCCATAGCGCAAGACTCTGTCTCACAAAAGAAACAAGTGACATTCTTTTTTATACACACATACGTAAGTAACACACAGCATGTTAAGTCTCCACAAAGATTCTTTTTCTTGCTGTAGACACAGAGGAATTAGGTGGACAGTAGCTGTTCATGCACTGAAGCCACTGAGGAGCATGAAAACTTTTACCTCTTGCATCTAGTCATTTCCTGGGATGCAATTTGTGGGGTAGGGCAATCGGACTGATAGCAACTTTGCACAGATTCTATATGTAAGATCAACGTAACAGGCTGCCATCTAGTGCTCCTGAGTACAAATGATTCTCACTAGCTCAGCTTCCTGGGTACCTAAGACAGCACTGGCTGGTGCTGCTGTTGCTGTTGCTGTTCGGTATTATAATTGGATAGATGAGAAATCATCATTTTCTAGTGTTTTTAGTTGAAACCTTACGTTTCTGTTAACCATACACACATGGAAATTCTTAAGAGCTGTAGGTCCATTATCCAAGGACTTAGGTGCTATATGAGAAAAAAGCATTGATTTTGGATTTCAAGGTTTCAATGAAACCTTGAAAGCTAGACCTAAATCGAGCTAAACTATCAGTTTGTTCTGTGATCTTAGATACTTTCCTTAACTTCAAGCCCTGAGGTTTTTTTTAGCTGTTCTAAGGAACAGAATTATACCACCTTGTTCAGTGTTTGTTTTATTCCTTCCTTTTTGTAGTAAAAGGTAGGTGGGACACGCAGTTATCTAGGTTCTAGGGTGCACTTAAAATTCTGCTGATATAATTTGACATTATAGAAAATTAAAAGGATGAAAGCATTCCCTAGGTGCCGGACTTCTTTTTTATTTTTTGAAAAGGAAGCGTTGAGAAAGAGGTTAGAAAGGTAAGGAATGTATATTGGCTATTTGACATTGATACAGGATGTTATGAAAGAATTAGCATTTGGAAAAATATGAACACATAACTATTTCAATTTAAAAAGTAGGGGTGGGTGCAGTGCTCACACCTGTAATCTCAGCTTTTTGGGATGCCAAGATAAGCAGATCACTTGAGGTCAGGAGTTTGAGACCAGCCTGACCAACATGATGAAACCCCACCTCTACTAAGAATACAAAAATTAGCCAGGTGTGGTGGCATGCACCTGTAATCCCAGCTACTCAGGTGGCTCAGGCAGGAGGATTGCTTGAACCCAGGAGGCAGAGGTTGCAGTGTGCTGAGATCGTGCCACTGAACTCCAGTCTGGGCCACAGAGCAAGACTCTGTCTCAAAAACAAACAAACAAACAAATAAATAAATAAGTAAATAATTTTTAAAAAGTGAATGAAAAAAACTGCAGAAGTTTGTCAGTGATTTAGAGATCAGTGATTTTGAGATGGTAAAGCTTAAGAATTGCTGGCAAAGGCTATTCTAAGGTCATTCACCTGGAGTTTCCACCACAGGCAACCCTGCCAATTCTAGTGAGTGAGCTGCCATGTGCACCCCCTGAAGACCGGCCGACCTGGTGCCACCATTTACCCCCCCCCCCATCAGGTTAACAGCAGATTTGCCAACAGGAACCTTACAGGTCAGGATAGAATGAGATGATACATTCAGAGTGCTGAAAGAAAAAAAACAAACTCCTACCAAGAATATTACACCTAGCAATGCTATTCTTCCAAAATGAAGGAGAAATAGTCTTCCCAAGACAGGCAAACACTGAGGGAATTTATCACCATTAGACTGTCTTATAAGAAATGCTCAAAGAACTCCTACATCGGAATGCAAAAGTACGGTAGCTACCATTATGGAAATACATGAAAGAGTAAAACACACTTGTAGAGCAGATACACAAATAGGAGTGAGAAAGGAATCAAACCTTATAATTACAAAAATCCGTCAACCATGAAAATAAATAGTAGGGGAAGAAAGAAACAAAGGTTATACAAAACAACCAGGAGACAATTAACAAAATGACAGGAGTAAATCCACACCTATCAATAACAACGTCAAATGTAAACACTTTAAATTCCCCAGTTAAAGATTTAAACTGGCTGAATGAATTTAAAAAAATTTACAGACTCAATTATATATTCTGACTACAAGAAACTCACTTCACCTGTAATGGTACAGGTAGGCTGAAAGTAAAGGGATAGAAAAGGATGTTCATGCAAATGGAAATCATAAATGAGGGGGAATAGCTATACTAATGCCAGATAAAATTGGCTTTAAATAAAATATAAAAAGAGACAAGTTCATTATATAGTGATAAAGAGATCAATTCAGCAATAGGAAATAACTATAAATATATATACACCCAACACCAGAGCATCCATATATATAAACAAATAATATTAGAGCTAAAGGGAGAGAAAAACCCTAATATAATAGCTGGGAACTTCAACACCATACTCCCAGCACTGGACAGATCATCTAGACAAAATCAACAAAGAAACATCAGACTTAAAGTGTACCATAGATCAAATGGACCTAACAAACATTTATAGAACATCACATCTAACAGCTGCAAAATACACATTTTTCTTTTTCTTTTCCTTTTTTTTTTTTTGAGATGTAGTCTTGCTCTGTTGCTTGAGTGCAGTGGTGTGATCTCAGCTTACTGCAACCTCCGTCTTGCAGGCTCTAGCGATTCTTCTGCCTCGGTCTCCTGAATAGCTGGGACTGTGGTGGCACACCACCACACTTGGCTAATTTTTGTTTTTTTATTAGAGACAGGGTTTCACCATGTTGACCAGGATGATCTCAATCTCTTGACAATCTCTTGATCTCCTGATCCACCTGCCTTGGCTTCCCAAAGTGCTGGGATTACAGGCATGAGCCACTGCGCCTGGCCTTTTTTCTTATCTTGGAATGTACAAGTATCAAAAATTTTAAAGGTCAGAATAATGTCAAGTATTTTTTCAGACCACAACAGAATAAAACTAGAAATAAGTAACAGGAAGGACTTTGGAAACTGTGCATATACACAGAAATTAAATAACATGCTCCAGAACAACCAGTGGGTCAATGAAATAATTAAGAAGGAAATTTAAAAACTTCTTGAAACAAATGAAAATAGAAACACAACATACCAAAATATATGAGATACAGCAAAAGCAGCACTAAGAGGGAAGTTTACAGCAATAAATGCCTCCATCAACAAGTAGAAATATTTCAAATAAACAACCTAATACTGCACCTCAAAGAACTTGAGAAACAAGAACAAACCAAACCTAAAATAAATAGAAGGAAATAAATAAAAAGATCAGAGAAGAGCTGAATAAAATAGAGACTTAAAAAAAATACAAAAGAACAACTAATGAAAAGTTGGTTTCTTGAAAATAAACAAAATCAACAAACTACTAGTTAGAAAAAAGACCCAAATAAATAAGGTAAAAAACAAAAAAGGAGACACTACAACTGATACCATGGACATAGTTAGTATCATTACAGAGTACTATAAAACAACTATATGCCAAGAAATTGGAAAAGCTACAGGAAATGGATACATTCTTGAGCCCATATAATCTATCAAGATTGAGCCAAGAAGTGATAGAAAACCTGAACAGACCAATCACAAGTAACAAGATTGAACTTGTGATAAAAAGTCTCTCAACAAAGTAAAGTCCAAGACCACATGGCTCCATTGCTAAATTCTGCCAAACAGTTAAAGGAGAATTAAGACCAATTATCAAACTATTGAACATAATGAAGATGAGAGAATTCTTCCAAACTCATTCTACAAGGCCATCATTACCCTGATACCAAAACCAGACAAGGGCACATTAAATAAATAAATAAATAAATAACCTACAGGCCAATATATTCTACAAAACAGTTCTTAACAAAATACTAGGAAACCAAATCCAAGAATACATCAAAAAGATTATACATCATGAACATGTGTGACTTATCCTAGGGATGCAAGGATGGTACAACATACACAAATCAATAAATGTGGTATATCATATAAACAGAAGGGAGGACAAAAACCATATGATCATCTCAGTAAATGCAGAAAAAATCATTTGGTAAAATTCAACACCCCTTCATGATAAAAACTTTCAGAAAGTTAGGGATAGAAGGACTATTTCTCAGTACAATAAAGGCCATGTATGACAAACTCACAGCGAATATACTGAGCAGGGAAAAGTTGGAAGCTTTTCCTTCAAAGAACTGGATTGAAATAGGAATGCCCACTCTTACCAGTCTTATTCAACGGAGTATTAGAAATCCTAGCCAGAGCAGTTGGGCAAGAAAAAGAAATAAAGGTCATTGGCTCACATTTGTAATCCCAGCCCTTTAGATGGCCAAGGCAGTCAGATCACTTTAGGTCAGGAGTTTGAGACCTGCCTGGCCAACATGGTGAAACCCCATCTCTACTAAAAATACAAAAATTAGGTGGGTGTGATGGTACACACCTGTAATCCCAACTGCTTGGGAGGCTGAGGTAGGAGGATTGCTTGAGCCTGGGAGGTGGAGGTTGCAATGAGCCAAGATGGTACCATTGCACTCCAGCCTGGGTGACAGAATGAGACAAAAGAAAATTAGCGGGGCACAGTAGTACATACCTATAGCCCCAGTTACTTGGGAGGCTGAGGCTGGAGGATCCCTAGAGTCCAGGAATTTGAGGCAGCAGTGAGCTATGATTGCATCAGCGCACTCCAGCATGGGCAAGAAAGTGAGACCCTGTCTTTTTTTCTTTTTTTTTTTTGAGGTGGAGTTTCACTCTTACTGCCTATGCTTAAGGGCAGTGGTGCGATCTTGGCTCACTGCAACCTCCACCTCCTGAGTTCAAGCCATTCTCCTGCCTCAGCCTCCTGAGTAGCTGGAACTACAGGCACACACCACCACACCCAGCTAATTTTTGTATTTTTAGTAGATTTGGGGTTTCACCAGGTTGGCCAGGCAGTTTGGTTTCAAACTCTAGAACTCACGTGATCCACTCACCTTGGCCTCCCAAAGTGCTGGGATTACAGGAATGAGCCACTGTGACCCTGTCTCTTTTTTAAAAAAGAGGTGGGGAGCAGCTTGAGGGGAAACTTGTATTTCTCAAAAAGTACATACAAGTGGCTAAAAAGTGTATGAAAAAGTATTCAACATAAATGCAAAATTGGGGTGATGTTTATCCCAATTAGAATGTCTCTTTTAAAAAAGGTAAAATAAGTTTTTGCGAGGATGCAGAAAGAAAAGGGAACTCACATACTTTTGATAGGAATGCAAATTAATACAGCCATTATAGAAACAGCATGGCAGTTCCTCAGAAAACTGAAAACAGAACTACTATATGATCCAACAGTCTCCCTAGTGGGTATTTATCCAAAGAAAAAGAAACCAGAATATCAAAGACTTATCTGCACCCCACCCTTATCGTGGCACTATTCGTAATAGCCAAGGAATGGAGTCAATGTCATTGTCCATCAGCAGATGAATGGATAAAGGAAATGTGATATATATGTACCATAGAATACTATTCAGCCATAAAAAAGAATGAGATCCTGTCATTTGTGGGAACATGGATAAGACTGGAGAGCATTGTTATGTAAAATAAGTCATCCACGGAAAGATAAATACTGCATGTTCTCTCACTCATGTGGAGCTAAAAAAAAATGGGCTCATAGAAGTAAAGAGCAGAATTATGGTTAGTGGAGGTTGGGGAGGGAAAAGGGAGGAGTCTAAGGAGAGGGAATTTAAGAGATTGATTAATGGGCACAAAATTACAACTAGAACAGAGGCCTAAGTTCTAGTGTCTGTGGCACTGTAGGATGACGATAATTAATAATAATTTATTGTGCATTTTCAAGTAGCTAGAAGAGAGGTTGTTAGAATGGTTCCAACACTAAGAAATGATCAATGTTTGAGGTGACACATGACATATATGCTAATTACCCTGATTTGATTATTACGCATTGTGTATTTATGAAAATATTCCTTTGTACTCCATAAATATGTACAATTATTAGTATCGATTTTAAAAAGAATGGATAAAAACAAATCATAGTAAGGAAAGGATACTTTGGCAGAATGAAAGTGTCAAAATTGTATGGCATATATGTATGTGTTTATATGTGTGTGTGTGTAATATTTCTAAGGAGAGTTAATTCAGCAAATGTTTAAGTGCCTACTTCTTGTATGTGCCTACTTCTTTGCTTGAAAATAATACAGGAAAATCAAACAAATTGAGAGTAAAAAAAAAAAAATGCCTTAGTGAGCAGAAAATGTAGAAAACTAACGATAGAGATACAGAACAAATGACCAAATCTGTTTGTGAAGAGTGAGAAGAAACTTTAGGCAACCCCAATAATCACTGAAGACAGACACTAATACTTGATTTAGAAACAGAACTGATCTATTATTTGGAAATTAGATTTTAACTCTTCATAAATATAAATCTATAATGTTGTCCTATCTGACTTTTCTCTACCTAGAATTACCATTGTTATATCATTTCTCCAGTTCCTACAAGATCTGGTCACAGAGTTTAAGAGTTGCAGGGTATTTACAGTCCCCCAGCCCTGGGAGGAAGAGGACAGCGAGACTTCAAGCCTTCACACCTTAGCACAAAGTGTGTCAGCTCCCACACATCACTCCTATAAGAATTCTAAGACCCAGTATACTAGGAATATTTTATGGATCAGAACTGTCACCACAACAGTATCCATTATAGTAATGTAGAAGTCATAATTGGCTTGTGAGGTTAGGCAAAAGAATGAAGTTACTGTGTTTGAACTGCAGGGAGCAGTGTTTGCTCTGAAGTTGTTATACCAAAGCACGGAGAAAAAGACAAATGCTGTCCTTTTTGTTTTAAATTCGTAAGAACTAAAGAAATTGAGCAGTATTTGATTTATCCTTTTTATTTGATTACAGGAAAGCCAGATTACAAATTACTGCACGCCTCCCTAAGCAAATTGAAAGTAGCATACAGAAAAATCAACCTGAGGATGATGCTAAGAGAATTGAAGCACTGCTAAACCTTCCTAGAAACCCTTCAATAATAGATGAACAAGACAAGGACTGAAAGTACTCTGAACTTAAAACTCAGTGGAGAGTTGACGGGAGCTATGCTGCCATGTCTTTTGAATGCCAACACACAGGCCACTCTTTGGTCAGCCTGACAAATGTAAGTACTGGTACCTGTGGTGGCAGTGGCTTGCTCTTCTGTTTTTCTTTTTTAACTAAGAATGGGGCTGTTGTACTCTCACTATACTTATCCCTAAATTTAAATACATATTTATGTCTGTTGATCTATCAATATATACATATATGAATATATCCACCCACCTAGATTGTATAGCAGTAAATAAAACATTTCCCAAGAGACTAAAGTTGAATTTTACAGTTCGTATATTTATTCATGTAGTCTTTTAAAAGGGTATTCTGGAAGGAGGAGAGGGAAAAAAACAGGTAAGGCAAATGGTCTGTGAAACCCTTGGGTCCTGGAGCAGTGTGAGGCTAAATGTGTAGTAGTGTTTGGTTTAATATTAATAAAAATCAGAGATGATTTCTTTGCCACTTGAAATAAAATACAAATTCAACAAAAAGTAGATCAGCATTATTAAAGAAACAGTTAACATTGTTTCTTCCCTTAGTATTGCTGACAAAGTATCTGCTGTAGAATACAGAAATTACTTAGATTAGAAATATAGCTAACAACTGTTAGTAAATGAAAAGAATTACTGAATTAGGCATATTGACAGGAAGCAACTGTTAGTATCTTTTGTTGGTGTTAGACCTCTCTGCCATACACTGAGAATATAGTTGTTACATAGGAGCAAGGTTTGTGAAACAGCATAGTGAGGTAGCTAAAGTCATGGGCTAGCTCTAAAGGCTTTGAATCCTGGCCATGTGGCTTAGCTGCCATGAGAAGTGCATTTAAGAAACTTTGTCATCTTTTGCTATCCAACTCTAGACTTTCAGATGATAATGTGACTGTCCCAGCTTAAGTTGCATCCACTCCTGGTCTAGAGTATTGTGGAAGGCAGTTTTAGAGAAAGGAGCCATGAGTAACAGAAACAGCAACTGGGTGTGTGTTAAAACACGCACTTTGAATGAAGAGATCCCCCATACAGGCTTTGTGTGAGCAACATGGCTGTTTATTCCCCCGGGTGCAAGTGGGCTGAGGCTGAAAAGGGCGTCAGTGAAGGGCAGTGGGATAGGAGTTGGTTTTATAGGTTGGGGCAGATCTTTTGGGGAGGGGGCAGGGGTATTATGTAGGTGAGGGTTGTGGGGTGGGGAATGATCAGCTGAGGCAGGCTGGTCTTCAGACTTTCTGGGTCCAGGCTTCCACATGGAGGCCTGACAGTATGTCTTTCCAGTTCTCCGCTGATGTCAGAAAGACCCAGAAATACCAAGGAAAAGCCGTCTTAGGGATCTAAGAAGGCTCTGTGAAAAGCTACCACTTTAGACATTGGAAAATACCTTACTGTTTAGTGCATACACAGTAAATAACTCATTTTAAATGAGGACTTTCTCATAAATATTTTACAAATGAGGTCAAACTAGCATAAAGCCATTTAAAGAGATTATCAGTCCAATATGAACCAATTGATTGTAAGTCTTTGGACCATCCCTTTCCTCCTTGACTGCTGCTTTGAGGTACATAAATCATTCATGTTAAATATCAGAGGAGATTAGTTTTGGATAGTTCTACTTTCTTTGTACCTCATGGGGGAGTGAGAAAGCAACAATAGAGAACACAATGAAAAATGGAATACTGGCTAAACACCAGTAATATTTCCATTATCCTAAAGATGTTCATGCCATACTACCTATACATGATATTGGACTTTTGTAAACCACAACATGAAATCAGATCAAGTCTCTGAAGCTGACCTGATACTGGACAAATTCTACTTCCAGCAGCATTTTGCCTGACATGTATATGTATACACCAGCTAACAGGCCAGAGTCAAACTGATGAAGGGAAAGAGCACCAGAGTTAGGAAATCTGGGTTCTGGCACTGGCCTTTATAATTGTGGTTGTCCTGGGCCTCAGTGCCTTTGTCATTAATGACACTGGTATTCTCTAAAGTCCCTTTCAGAACTCAAGAATTCCACATTTCAAAACCCCTTTATCCAGGTCAGCAGAGCAACTTCTTTGCCCACCGTATTCCTCTAGACACTTCCTGCAAAGCAACTGAAGTGAAGAAGCACCTAAGAACAGATACACAAAGGTCAAGGTGGGGTAATCCTGTCCCTCTGAAGAAGTTCCCAGAAGAGGTCAATTGCAAGTGAAGGTGGGACCTGAGAAAACAAATAAATGATTACATCAAACCCTATATTGGCAAAGGAGGAAAACTTCTTAAATTTATATACATATATATTTAATATATATTGGTGCTTGCTAAACATTTGCCTAATCAATATTTCATGTGATAAAAATTGCCAGAATAGTTTTAAGTTGTCTCATAATTTAGCGCTCTCTTCATATTCTTCAGCTATCAAGATTACTATGTCCAAGTTGGGAGTATCTTTGATCTTGAGATTAAAAATATATATATAATATGTATTTATATATTTAATATATGTATATATTATTTTATATATACTATATAACATTTTTTATATTTAATGTTTATATAAATACAAAATATATAAATACTTATATATCTTATATATAAATATATATTTAATCTCAAGATCAAAGATATTCCCAACTTGTACTTAGGAATCTTGATAGCTGAAGAATATGAAGAGAGGGCTAAATTATGAGAGAATTTAGAACTACTCTGGCAATTTTTATCACATGAAATATTGATTAGGCAAATGTTTAGTAAGCACCAAGACACTCTTCTATGTGTGGGGCAAACAAAGATGTATCAGGCACAGTTGCTTTCCTCAATAAGCCTACATACAGTCCGGTAGAGGACAGAAGGAAGATGTGGTACATGAGAATCAACCCATGGTGGTGGTATGAGATGTGCTATAGAGGTGGAACTGCTTGAGCTGGACAAGATGGTTAGATAAGGCCTTGTGTAGAAGACTGGGTACATGGTTTTATTCTGAAGTATCAGTAGACTGAGCAGAAGACTTTTTAGATAGAAAGTCAGGAAAATTGTAGATAATGACAACTGAGCCAGAGCAACATCTTGGAGGGGACCTTTTGAGGAGTGAACGAGCATTCAGTGGAAATGAGAAAACAGGATAGGAAGTTGGGAGACTGCCTTGGGGGAATATATGTATAGGCTGCCAGTTTGTAGTGAACAGAGCCTGAACTTGATGTCCAGTTTGAACCTTGGTTTTGTTCCTCATCTATATGGCCTTAACCTCAAGCAAATCACTCAACCTCTGGGAGCCTCTGGTTTCTCTCCCATAAAATGGAAATCGATCTTGCTTATAGCAATTTTTATAAGACAAGATGAAATAGTGCTTTTGCAAAACAACCTGTTGTGTAAGTCCCAGGTGTTATTGTTTCTTTTTCTTTCTATTTCCCCCTCCTGCCCAGGACAATTCTTGCTTTCCTTTATTTTTAGAGATAATTTTCTAGACTAATTTCTTACGCTGGTGTTACTCCAACCTTCACAAGTCAAAGTTGAACTGTCGAGGGAGGCTCATAACTACCCTGAACCTGATAGTCAGTGTCTTGGATTCTAATGTCCCACATAAGTTTCTCTTGCATGAAAATTCCTGGGGATTTGTGACTCACTAAAGCTAATGCTGTGTTAGGTTCTCTTAACAGGACGAACATTCCAAACCCCAGATAGTAATTATCCCATTATATGTAGAGTCAGTAACACCAAATCTAAAGTCTTGGGTTCTATTTACCCCATTCATGTGAGACACTGGAAACTATACCATGTGAGGAACAATTGACAGAACTCAGTGAATTTAGACTGAAGAGATCAGCTGGAATGTGGAAAGTTAAAAAGTTTTGGAGCTTTTCCTGTAGGCACTGGGTTCTCTTCTGAGTTTCTGAGTAGGAAAATGACATGACAGAGTAGTTCTTTATGAAACTTTGCTCCATGATTGATCAGTAGGATGTCTGTTAGTTACCATGTTAGTACAAAGTGGCCCTAACCCATATCCATCAATACTGAGAGATACAGGGGAAAAGGAATGATCAGATTAAGAAATTAGCCCAGGCAAGATGAACTCAAATTAGTGTTTTATAGATAATGAAAAGCATTGAATTGGCTAACAAGAGGGGGGAATATTTCAAGATGGCAGAATGGAAACCTGGCAAAAGAAGAGGTTGCATTAAGCGAATTGCATGTGGGGAGAAAGGAGAGGGATTTTAGGCATCTTGTATCTGTTTAGTGTAACCTGAAAGGTTTTTGAGAAGGTGAGGTAGTAGGCAAAACAGCTTAAATTTAGTACTAAGAGGAAGAGAAGAGTGCCTCATGATCTCCAAAATCCATGTATCCCAGAAGAGATGACGGAGGCTACCTTCAGATGTTTTTTTCAACCTCTTGCTTCTGCGGATCCTGTTATATAGGGCGTACGCTTTCCCTTCTCAATCTCTCATTCCTCCTTCTCTCTCTGCATCTTGGGGCAAAGCCTTGGAGACAAGAACAAACAATAAAAATGATAAGTGAGTTTCCCTTGAATTGTGCACATATATTAATATTTAGCAGTGCTTCACACTGGCTTAGAACTGGAGCAGTGATTCTTATACCAGGGGCGATACAATGCTACCTCTCCACCTCTCTACCAAGGGAACATTTGGCAATTCGTGGGGATATTTTTGGTTGTCACAACTGGGGCAAGGAGTGCTACTGGCATGTAATGAGTAGAGGCTAAGGAAGCTGCTAAACATCCTACAATGCATAGAACAGCACTCCAAAACAAAGAATTATCTTGCTCAAAATGCCAGTAATGTTGAGGATGAAAAACCCTGAATTAAAGGGGTAAGACTGGATAGTTGGTATTAGAAACATCCTTGAGCCCACCTTTTTATCTTACCCTTGTGAAAAGTTGGTAACAGCAGAGACTCTCTAAGGAATTCACTGAGCTTTGGCATTTGTGTGTGTGTGTGTACGCGTGCACGCGTGCGTGCAAACACTCTAAAACCTGGAAAAATCAGCATATGTTGATCTCCCAATTTTATTTGATCAGAGTACATGCTTTCTACTCAAAGAAGAGTAGCTATTTCTTCATAGTGATGATGGCCATATCTTAGACCATAGAACTCGCAGCTCCTCTTCATTTAATCACAGAGATTGAGGGCAGCATATGCCTAACACCCAAAGTATAAATTTGTAGGGTAAAATCTTAGAAATGTTTTCTTTCATCAACCACTCCGGATCTTTCATCCGAAAATGTATTCTAATGAACTGATAATTTTTTTTGTGAGATGGAGTCTCGCTCTGTTGCCCAGGCTGGAGTGCAATGATGCAATCTTGGCTCACTGCAACCTCCGCCTCCTGGTTACAAGCAATTCTCCTGCCTCAGCCTCCTGAGTAGCCGGGACTACAGGCACATGCCACCGTGCCCAGCTAATTTTTGTAGTTTTAGTAGAGATAGGTTTTCACCATATTGGCCTGGTTGGTCTCGAACTCCTGACCTTAAGTAATCCACCTGCCTTGGCCTCCCAAAGTGCCGGGGTTACAGACGTCAGCCACCGTGCCCAACCTAAGAACTGAGAATTGGGAAGATCACTTGTAGCCATGTAGTTTCTCAGCTATATTAGTGCATCCTGCCTTCCTCCAAGAAAATGATTCTTGGCCCCAAAATTTGTCAATTTGCCTTTTCTCTAACTCCAAATCAAAATTAGAATAACAGAAGGATGGTGTCCATGGAAGTTGGAATTCACTAAGGAGTTCATAACAACTTACCTGCCAAATCAACTAGCCTTTAAAAAAAACACACACAAACAATAGAGTATCATTTAGCCTCAGAACGTTTTCAAATAGCAAACCTCAGTCTCCAAAAATATATAAAGTTAGGGAAAAAATAAATGAACTAAACTAGAATGTGTCTTGAGGGTGGTGACTTCTTGTCTTTGTAATTCCAGTGCCTAGTAGAGTGCCACACATATAGGAGGTGTCCGGAAAATGTCCAGTGAATGAACAGAACTTGCTTAGACAAGTAAAGGAGATACTAATGTTTCCATAGACTTGCTATAAACATGAGAAAAGAATAGGCTAAAACCTCAGAGAGATGCTGAACCATGCTAATAAGAGTTTGGTCTTCCAGAATTGAAATCAGAACGATAGTGTGATAGTACTTACGGTAGGTCAGGCGGCAAAGCACAAAAATTCCGATTACTAAGAGTAGCATAATGAGCGTAGTGACCCAGGATAGGAGCGAGGTATCAGGAAAATGCTCTTGCTTGGCTATGGAGGGAAAAAAATAATATCAGCTGTAATGTGTTTCCTACTGCCTGATACTCATTCTGTGCCTTTTCTACTGATGCAACTGTGGAGTATTCTTTGCCTGGTAAGCTCTCCAGTATGCAGCTGCTAGCATTTTTCTTGCATAATTCTTCAATCAGGTGCATACTTGTGGGCAACTAATATTCAGATGTCAGATATATTAAAACTGAAAAAGACACTTTGAATGTCTGCATTTACTGAATTAAATAGACATAAGGAAGACTCTAAGAAAGTATTTTAAAAACCGTCTTGACATACTTCACTTTTATAGCTGATTATAACTATGTATTACTACTAATTGATTGATGTTGTGTTCTAGGTATACTTTATTTTTCTGTCTCTAGCTCTGTCATGCCGCCTTCCTTTGTCTTAGCATATTCTGTCTCCACACAGACACACACACCCTTTCCTCACAATAGCTGCCCTAAAGCTACAGGAGCCACTTTGTATTCACTTTCAGATACAGGTTTTTCACCCTCTAGCCTAGAGCTACTGGAAATACAGAACAAGTCTGGCAAAAAACTAAGTGTGGATATGGCTTGGTATTAGGTGGGACCATCCTAGAAGAGAGCCCTGAAGGTTATCAGCTGTAGCTTCAGTCCCACAGAGAGCACAAGAAGTACCCGAGGAAGGATGAGGGTGGGGAGGAGAAAGGTGTTGGTGGATATGGTGCTGCTGGTTCATCCCTCCAGATTAGGAGCAGCAGCTACACTATTTATTCTTCAGCTGCTTTGAGGAATAGTTAGCAGCAACATCTGGAAAAGGGGCAGGGACACAAATTATAGCAGCTCATCTTCTAGTTTCTCTGAAATGGCTTACAAATAAGTGAATATTTACCAACTTATTGTTTTTACTTTTCTGATTATTAAACCTAGTGGTTTTATTTATTTATTTATTTATTTTGATATGGAGTCTCACTTTGTTGCCCAGGCCAGGCTGGAATGCAGTGGTGCAATCTCGGCTCATTACAACCTCTGCCTCCTGAGTTCAAGCAGTTCTCCTGCCTCAGCCTCCCAAGTAGCTAGGATTACAGGGGCATGCTACCACGCCCAGCTAATTTTTGTATTAGTAAAGATGGGATTTCCCCATGTTGGTCAGGCTGGTCTTGAACTCCTGACCCAGGTGATCCACCCACCTCAGCCTCCCAAATTGCTGGAATTGCAGGCATGAGCCACTATGCCTGGTCTAGTTTTATTCTTTTGCTTGTTGGACTTCTCATCAGCATTTGGCTAGTTGAACGCTTCTCCTTGGACTTCTATGTTACCGTATCCTTCTGTTTCTGTTTGTTGCATTCAGTTTTCTCTGAAGGCTTTTCTTCCTTTTTTTGTCCTCTAATTATTGTTGTTCCCATGGTTCTGTTTGTGGTCCCATTTGGCCCTCACTGGTCCCAGGCTTCCTAGGTGATATCCTCCACACCCGAGACTTGAAATGCCATTTGAGGCCAGGCACGGTGGTTCACACCTGTAATTCTGGCACTTTGGGAGGCCAAGCTGGGCGGATCACCTGAGGTCAGGAGTTCAAGACCAGCCTGGCCAACATGGTGAAACTCCGTTTCTACTAAAAGTACAAAAAATTATCAGGGCGTGGTGGTGTGTGCCTACAATCCCAGCTACTCACGAGGCCAAAGCAGGAGAATTATTTAAACTAGGGAGGTAGAGGTTGCAATGAGCTGAGATCACACCGCTGCACTCTAGCCTGGGTGACAGAGTGATACTCTATCTCAAAAAAAGGAAAAGGAAAAAAAAAAAAGGAAATGTCATCTGATTTCTAAATTTGCATATTGGATGGATTCCAGCATCTCCACCAGATTAAAGCTGAATTTACTACACATTTTCCAAATCATATCTACCACCTGTATCTCCCATTTCAGTTAATAACAATACCATTTAGTTACCCAAGTAAGACTGTGGTATTTTTTTTTTGTGCTCATTTCCCAGTAGGCTCCCATGTATTTTCTGTTCTATATTCAGAATATCTCTGGAACTTACTGCTTTTTCCCAAATCTCTTGCAGCAACTGCCTTAGTTGAGATTTTTCTCATCTCCCACTTAATAGCCTACAAACTGGTCTCTTTGCTTCAGGTTTCCTAGGCTCTACTAACTCCTGCACATTGCTATCACAGTAATCATTCTAAAACACATATTTTATCTTAGTGTACCTACCACTTAAAGACTAGGGAGAATTGGTTTTTCTTTTTTCTCTTAAAACACAAGATTGCGCCGGGCGCAGTGGCTCACGCCTGTAATCCCAGCACTTTGGGAGGCTGAGGCGGGTGGATCACGAGGTCAAGAGATCGAGACCATCCTGGTCAACATGGTGAAACCCCGTCTCTACTAAAAATACAAAAAATCAGCTGGGCATGGTGGCGCATGCCTGTAATCCCAGCTACTCAGGAGGCTGAGGCAGGAGAATTGCCTGAACCCAGGAGGCGGAGGTTGCGGTGAGCCGAGATCGCGCCATTGCACTCCAGCCTGGGCAACAGGAGCGAAACTCCGTCTCAAAAAAAAAAAAAAAACACAAGATTGCATGGAGACATTAAGTGATTACTAGAGCTGACCTCTACAGACTAGAATGACACAAAAAATAACAAGCCAATGCTGTTATCCAAGGAGTCTGGAAGTTTCACAGGCTTCAGCTGATTCCTGGCTTCCACTCCACACCCATCCACAAGTCTCATTCAACCTAGAGAGAGTATGTGTGTGAGGAAGTGAGGGAGACCTCAGTAGTATCAAGCCAGCTCTGTCGTGATACCTGCTAGAAACCTGGTAACAGAGGCAGATCCAAAATCCAAGGTGCACAGCTGTGTGAGGGCATTTGCACATGTAGCTTGTTACATACCATGAGTACAACTCTCCTAGATTTATTGCCTTCCAGTTTATCAAGGGAAAACAAATTTGGTAGGACTACACTAAAAAGAATCATATGCCCAATCTGCTTAATTAATAACATTTGGGCTTTTTTTTTTTCCTTCAGATCAGTTATTTACTGATGTGGTTTGGCTGTGTCCCCACCCAAATGTCATCTTGAATTATAACTCCCACAATTCCCACATGTCATGGGAGGAACCCAGTGGGAGGTGACTGAATTATGGGGGCGGGTCTTTTCTGTGCTGTCCTCATGATAGTGAATGAGTCTCATGAGATCTGATAGTTTTATAAACAGGAGTTTCCCCATACAAGCTCTCTTTTTGTCTGCTGCCATCCATGTGAGACGTGACTTGCTCCTTCTTGCCTTCTGCCATGATTGTGAGGCCTCCTCAGCCGCGTGGTACTATGAGTCTAAACCTCTTTTGTAAGTTGCCCAGTCTCAGGTATGTCTTTATCAGCAGCATGAAAACAGGCTGATACATTTACACATCAATGCTGTACTCACATTGACCTATAACATTTCTACGAACTTAATGTATGTTTGTGTAGTCAGCCCTTGACATCCCATAAATGCATTAGTTGCTTTTGACTCTTATTCTAAATAATCCCCACACAATCCAATTAATGAGATTTGAGATATTTATACCCTAAAGCTCTCCAATCACAAAGACAAAAACCCTTAAGTTGGCAAACTATAGCACATGGGCCAAACCTGTCCTGCCACCTGTTTTTAAAAATGAAATTTTGTGGCTGGTCATGGTGGCTCACGCCTGTAATCCCAGCACTTTGGGAGGCCAAGGCAAGTGGATCACCTGAATTCAGAAGTTCAAGACCAATGTAGTGAAACCCCATCTCTACCAAAAAAATACAAAAATTAGCTGGGCATGATGGCAGGCACCTGTAATCCCAGCTACTTGGGAGGCTGAGGCAGGAGAATCGTTTGAACCCAGGAGATGGAGGTTGGAGTGAACCGAGACTGCGCCATTGCACACCAGCCTGGGCAACAAGAGTGAAAGTCTGTCTCAAAAACAAAGAAATAAATTTTGTTGGAACACAGCCATGTCATTCATTTATGTCTTATCTGTGGCTGTTTTTGTGCTATAACCAGCAGAGATGAATTGTTGCAGCAGAGACTGTGTGACTACAAACCTTAAAATATTTACTATCTGGCTCTATTCAGAAAAATTTTGCCAATCCCCATCCACATATATCCATATTTTAATATAAATAATGTCAGCCAGGTGCAGTCACTCATACCTGTAATCCAGCACTTTGGGAGGCTGAGGCCGGTGGATAACAAGGTCAGGAGTTCAAGGCCAGCCTGACCAACATAGTGAAACCCCGTTTCTCTTAAAAACACAGAAAAGTTAGCCAGGCGTGGTGGCACCCACCTATAATGCCAGCTACGCAGGAGGCTGAGTCAGGGGAATTGTTTGAACCTGGGAGGCGGAGGTTGCAGTGAGCTGAGATTGCACCACTGCACTCCAGCCTGGGTGACAGAGTGAGACTCCCTCTCAAAAAAAAAAAAAGAAAAATCCAAATCAAAATGCAATTCAAGCTAGTATTACTGATTTAATAATCAGTACTCTGTACTGCTTTCTACCTTCAATCAGAATAATGTAAAATTGGTTAAATAATACTATAACGAGAAAGTTAAAATAGAGACCTAAACTATCTTTATGATTCAAGCCTCATTTTAATAAAATTTTTACCATACATAAAAGATGACTGAGACGGGTAAGTTTGGAGTATCAATAAAGTCATGTCAGAGTTTGGTTTATATTTGAACTAATTTTCCTAGGAAATTTTATCTCATTGAGGAAAATAAAGAATCTGCTGTCAGACTGAAAGATCTAGAGTAAATCATATACTAGCATGAATTGCTAGACCATCTAAAATAAATTCTCAACTTCTCAACTACAAGTTAAGTCATGAAGAAGACATGCTATTATATATTGTGCTATATACTTATATGTAACTGTATATCAAACTCAGTGTATTGTTTCTTACTATGCAGTCACAAAACCTATCCTTGAAAATGGGGTTAGGGGTAGGGAGAGAGACCTGTGGTCCTCTGTATGATCAGCCATACAGTTTAAACAAGTATTAATATTTCGAACATCTGAGTTCACCTGTGAGCCATCTTAAGCCATCATAGGCTTATGATGCATATATTCATATAAACCCAACTTTTTCATTGTATATTTTCAAATGGCTTCACCTCTTGAGGAAAGGGAATTCTCTAAGTTTACTACCAGTAGGCTAAAATATTTGTCCCAAGTTGACCTCTTTTCAGGTATTGTCTTCAAGAGAACACAGACTTGGTTCCGAAACCAGTAGTACTTAAAAAGCACATTAACCCACACAAAAAATAATTGTTTGGCACCATGGAACCATGTGGGTAGCATGCCCTAAAAAAAAGTACCAAATCCCTAAGGGCAATTTCAAAGGGCACATTTTAATGCTTTCAATCACAATATTGTTACAATAAATTTTTAAGATGAATGCTTGATGGAGAGTGGTTATTAGGATATATAAATTTTAGAATATTAAAAGAAAATAAAATTAGTAACTTCACACCTTGCACAGTGACTTTATTTTTTAAGTTTATTTTAAATTGTTTTATTTATTCCTTTTAGAGACAGTGTCTCACTCTGTTGCCCAGGCTGGAGTGTGGGGGACATGATCATAGCTCACTGCAGCTTTCAACACCTGGGCTCAAGTGAGCCACCCACCTCAGCCTCCTGAGTACCTAGGACTACATGTGTGTGCCACCAAGCCTGGCTAATTTTTTAATTTTTTTTGTAGAGACAGTGTCTCTTCATGCTTCCCAGGCTGGTCTTGAACTCCTGGTCTCAAGTGATCCTCCCACTTCAGCCTCCCAAAGTGCTGGGATTACAGGCATGAGCCACTGTGGCCAGCCTCACAGTGACTTTAATAAGTCATAATAACACATGTTATTTGTGTATCTAAAAATACTATAAAATACTATCAAAGTAAATATGACAATTCTAAAATGTGTCTGGCTGAGTTACAGTAATATGCCACATAAAAATGGCATATTACTAAAAGCACAAAAAAATTAGCCAGGTGTAGTGGCACACACCTGTAATGCCAGCTTCTCAGGAGGCTGAGTCAGGAGAATGGTTTGAACCCGGGAGGCACAGGTTGCAGTGAGCTAAGATTGCACCACTGCACTCCAGGCTGGGCGACAGAGTGCATATATGATGGTATTCCATAAAATTATAATACCGTATTTTTACTGTACCTTTTCTATGTTTACATATGGTTAGATGTGCAAATACTTACTGTGTTACAACTGCCTGTGTATTCAGTGCAGTAACATGCTGTACAGGTGTGTAGCCTCAGAGCATTAGGCTGTACCATGTAGCCTGGGTGTGCAGTTGGCTCTACCATCTAGGTTTATGAACGTACACTCTGATGTTCCAACAGTGACAAAATTGCCTAATGATGCATTTCTGAAAATGTATCCCCATCATTAACTGACACATGACTGTATTATCTTTTTAGATTCTCTATAGCAGAAACTCCCTGGAACAGTGTCACTTACGTGTTCTCCAGTTGAAGGTCTGATTCACTTTTAAATGTCCATACTTAATGAGACACATGAAGCTGTGGTTGGTTGTCATATTGAAATCCAGTTTGCTGCTAATAGTATAGAGCTCAGTTTCAGGGTCTTGGGAAACTGATGTGTTGATGGCATTTAATTCTTCTCCATTTTCCAACCAGGAGAGGTGAGGCTCTGGAAAACCTCCAGAGGTTGAGCAAATTAGCCTTCTAATGTCAGAAGAAGTTGGGATTTCAAAGTCAGTTATACTGGGTGTAGGGAAGTCAGCTAAAGAAAGAACAAGAATATATGATTACATATAGTTACAAACCTATGTGTGTAGAGGTTTATTTTTAAATAATTTTCTAGCTTTAATAGGACCATGATAAAGGCCGGGCGCAGTGGCTCACACCTGTAATCCTAACACTTTGGGAAGCCAAGGCAGGTGGATCACCTGAGGTCAGGAGTTCAAGACCAGTCAAGTCAACATGGCAAAACCTTGTCTCTACTAAAAATACAAAAATTAACCAGGTTCAGTGGCAGGCGCCTGTAATCCAGTTAGTCAGGAGGCTGAGGCAGGAGAATCGCTTGAACTCAGGGGTTGGAGGTTACAGTAAGCTGAGATCACACCACTTCACTCCAGCCTGGGCAAAAGAGCAAGACTCCATCTCAAAAAAACAGAACAAATAAGAATGATAATATGAGATATAATTTGCAACTTCCCATTAATCAGTAATAGTTATATATAATCCAAAGGCTAACTTTGATTTAAATTAGTTATATCAATTCTTTACCACTTTTGATGGAGACAGGAGGGCACTTATTAGAGAAAGGAGAAGTAGCTTTGTGTGAATAAACGTTGCCAGAGAACTTGCAGTTGTTAAGAGATGAAGAGGAAAGTAATAGACATTTACTGAGCTCTTCTTTGTTAGTTCTGGACCTTATCTCATTTTGCCTTCATAGAAACCCTAGAGAGGTAAGTTGTAGATCAAAAAAGGCCAAAGATCAACAATTTCACATGATTTAACCTAGTATTATTTCCATTTTATAAGTATTCAAACAAGTTTAGAGAAATTATAACCAACTAGTAATGGCAGAATTCAAATCTGTCTGACACCAGAGCCTGTCTTTTCTTGTCCCTGCCTTTCTTTCTTTCCTTTCCTTTTCTTCTCTTTTCCTTTCTTCCTGATTACTTGAAGTACACAAGTGGCTTTCTTCTATGTTAGCTATTTATTTATTAAACTATAGTGAACACCTGTAAACCCATTCTCCAACTTGACACACAAAACACTGGCAGTAAATTAGGTGAATCTGCTGGTATGGTGTCACGTATCCTGTCCCTCTCTTTCCCTTACCTAAGGTTATCACTACCCTAAATTTGTGGTTAGCATTTCTGTGCTTTTTAAAAGGTTGTCTTTTACATAAGGGGCCTGTGGCTTTGCTCTTGAGAATGGTTTCTCTTGTCTTCCTTTCTGGCTTTAGCCTTTGAACATTGCCCTCTCCTCTCTGACTACCTAAACTCAAAACAAAAATAGAGAAGGCTTTGCCTAACATAGAACTTTCATTTGGAAAGGGTCTAGATGCGGAGAGAGAGAACATAAATCTGGTCAGGGAGAGGAGATCTTGAAGAAAGGAAAATGCTGCCTAATTTGCAAGCCTGGGACCTGCCTTTTGAAGAGACATTGTGTGCATCTGAGTGGGGGGCAGGTATTGAACTGTAGTCATGAGTTTTTGCTTCTACTGATTCTCACCAACACCACCACCCCCCCAAAAAAACACCCAGGACCAGTATTTTTAACTTTGTATATTTATTTCTGGATGGGTTTTCCCCTCTCCTTATTCTGTTCTGAGACCGTGGACAAAGCTCTTTATTTTAGGTGAGAAGAAAAACTGTGAACCACATTAGTGATATTTTCATCTGAAAATATAATTGAAATTTATTTGAATAAATTAAATTTATTTGAATTCATTTCAATTTTTTATTATTTTGATAGCAGATGTGCTATTTATTTATTAATATGTATAAGGAAGCCTGAAAAATAGAAAGCTGTATAGATTAAGTTAGTTGTTAATTGGTTTGGGAGCCTTCCATGTGTAATTTATGACTTCTCTGTGTTTAAATATTTGTCTGAATTAATTTCCTGGGATGAAGCTATGCTAGTTTTCAAACAGGAGATGCCTTTCAGAAATTTGTATATTTTGCAGTTGCCAGACCAATATAATACCTGGTTGAAATTTAAAAAAAAAAAAAAAAAGTAGTCTTTTACTCAGAAAAACCTATGTCCCAACAACAACCTTCAGCCTATAACCTCATCTACTACACTTTATTGATTTTCTTTTTTTCATTTTTGTACTTTTAGTAGAGATAAAGTTTTACCATGTTGGCCAGGCTGGTCTTGAACTCATGGCCTCAAGTGTTCCACCCGCCTGGGCCTCCCAAAGTGCTGGGATTACAGGCATGAGCCACCGCATCTGGCCTAGGTTTTCTATTTTTTTTTTTTTCAAGACAAGGTCTTGCTCCATCACCCAGGTTAGAGTGCAGTGACATGATCCCAGCTCACTGCAGCCTCGACCTTCCAGGCTCAAGCCATCCTTCCACCTTAGCCTCCCAAGTAGCTGAGACTATAGGCATGTACCACTACACCTGGCACCCGGCTAATTTTTTTTTTTTTGTAGAAACAGGGTCTCACTATGTTGCCCAAACTGATCTTGAACTCCTGGCTCAAATGATCCTCCTGCCTTGGCCTCCCAAATTTTGGGGATTACAGGTCTAAGCCACCATGCCCAGCCCTGTTACATTTTCAGCATGCTTTTACAGGCATATATTGCTGGTTCAAGTGCAGTTAGTAGAAAGGCTACATCAAATTAAAGATCCCCGTGGTGATTGAGAGGCTCTTTAGGTCATTACAGTGCCCCAGGATGGTTGTTATGAACTTGGATTGTCAAAGAAGAAGAAATGCAAGTTAACAGATATTACCACGACATCTTGAAAAACCAGTTAGGATTTATCGTACAACTAGAGTCTTAACTCCAAGAAATGAAGTGAGATTACATCCCTCTTTGGTACAGTTTTCACCTAAATCAATAGCCATGTGTCTTTGAGGGCATTAAGAATCTGCTGGCCTAGAGTAAAGTCTGAAAACCCCACCAACCTTTGACCGATAGCATCACTTCAGCCAGGTGTTCCCGCTTGAAAGCATCTTTTTCATACTTCAGAACAACACACTCGTATGTGCCCTCATCAGATGGGCGCAGAGCCAGGATCACAATGGATAGGTTATTAGTGATATCAAAGATGGTCCGGTTCTTGTACTTGGGCCATATATTCATGTCCCCAGACATCATAGTCAGCACCATTTTCTTCTCCTTTTGCCAGTAGATGCGAGTTTGTGCCAGCTCTCCAACAGAAACATTGTGACCACAGGACAGTGTTGCCACTTCTTTTACTCCCTTGGTCACCTGGATAATACCTATGGAGAGGCAAACAGAACAAGATTGTTTATTAAATATAGATTCCTGCATGGTCAGGAATCCAAAGTTCACAGTAACAGAACTTAGGATGTTGTGTCTAGTGACTAAGCATCAATCCAGTTTGATTTTTTTGGGTCCTCAATGCTTTTTTTCTCTTTTTTAAAAATTTGGTAAAAAACACATAACAGGTTGGCATGGTGGCTCATGCCTATAATCCCAGCACTTTAGGAGACCAGGGCGGGTGATGCACTTGAGGTCAGGAGTTTGAGACCCGCCTGGCCAACATGGTGAAACCCCGGCTCTACTAAAAATGCAAAAATTTAGCTGAGCATGCTGGCCAGCACCTGTAATCCCAGCTACTAGGGAGGCTGAGGCAGGAAATCACTTGAACCTGGCAGGTGGAGGTTGCAATGAGCCAAAATCACACCATTGCACTCCAGCCTGGGCAACAAGAGTGAAATTCCGTCTCAAAACAAGCAAACACATAGCATAAAATTTATCATCTTACTGATTTTTAAGTGTACAGTTCAGTGGTGTTAAGTATATTTACATTGTTGTGAAACAGATCTCTATAAATTTTCATTTTGCGAATCTGAAACTCCATGTCCATTAAACAACTCCCCTTTCCCCCTCTCCCCTCAGCCTCTGGCAATTGCCATTCTGTTTGTATAAATTTGGCTACTTTAGATACCTCATAGAAATTGAATTATATAGTAACACTCTGTTTATGACTGGCTTATTTCACTTAGCTTGATGCACTCAAGGTTCATTCATGTTGTAGCATGACAGGATTTCCTTCCTTTGTAAGGAATGGTAATGATATGATCATAATGATAATGAATAATATTACACACACACCACATTTTGTTTGCTCATTCGTCGATGGACATTTGGCTTGCTTCCCACCTCCTAGCTACTGTGAATAATGTTACTATGAACATGTGTGTGCAAATGTCTCTTCAAGACCCTGCTTTCAATTCTTATGAATATATGGAATTTTCGGGTCATATGGTAGTTCTATTTTTAATTTTTTGAGGAACCTAAATAGTGTTTTCTATAGCAGTAGCACCGCCAATGCATAAAAAACAAATTTGGTTTCAAAAACAGAGAAGACAAATCACTAAAAGCGAACTCATGGACCAATCATTATAACATAACCTATGCCCTTCCTTTTTCTAGAGGATTTTCCAATGGCATGAAGGGTTTCAGAGCATATGAGCCTCTCCCAGAGAGGCAATTTATAATCCTATTATTTCTTCTTTTTTTTTTGAGACAGAGCCTTACTCTGTCTCCCAGGCTGGAGTGCAATGGTACAATCTTGGCTCACTGCAACCTCCACCTCCTGGGTTCAAACAATTCTCCTGCCTCAGCCTCCCGAGTAGCTGGGATTACAGATGACTGCCACTGCATGCAGCTAATTTTTGGGTTTTTTTGTTTTTTTTTTCAGTTGAGACAGGGTTTTGCCATGTTGGCCAGGCTGGTCTTGAACTCCTGACCTCAGGTGATCCCAAAGAGCTGGGATTACAGGCATAAGCCACCACACCCGGCCCTATTACTTCTTATTTGCTTTACCTAATGCAGTACCATGCCCAAGAGAAGTCAGTCCTGACCAAGGTACTGGGCATAGTGGTAGTGGAGGAGGGCAAGGTGCTGCTGCCCACCTCTGTATAGATGGCCTATATTGAATTACTCTTTATACTATCTCCTTTTCTTGCTTCTTCTGTGGTGGCTCTATGGACAGGGGCTATTTCATTTAATCTCCCAACAACCCCATGAGATATGTATTATTTCCCCCATTTTGCAGCTAAGGCAGCTGAGAGATTGAAAGGTTCAGAAAGCCTAGGACAGGGCAGGTCGGCGTAAGATTCCAAGGGCCTATGATTCTGCAGTCATGAGGAAGAATGAGGGAGGGAGATGGGGTCAATTAAGAAGAAAAAACTGGACCATACTTTAAATAGGTAGGGAAATATAATCAGTCTTCATTATTCATGAATTCCCACTTACAGAAGGCCTGCTTCCTGGCTGTGTTCCCTAGTCACTTGCTTAGGTAATTTTCAGCCACTACTGCCTTGAAAAATATGGAAGAATTTCAATATAAAGACCTAGTCTCTCATGCTCACTGCCTTTTCCCCTGTGTTTTTCCCACAGCCCCTCTCCCCACAATCATGTGGTACAACAACACACACACAGACACAGATATGCACGTGTACACACGTTCATTTAAACTACAGAACTGCATTTAACCATGGGAGAATTGAAGAATAAATTTTATCCAGATTGAGTGAGCTAAAGACTCAGACCTTCATCTGTATTAAGGTGACAGATGAAGGTTTTATTCCTGTGCTAATTCCTGGACTTAACAGGCTTAGCACAGGAATAAAACCTTCATCTGTCCCCATGCTATCTCTCATTGTTCAATACCCGCCTATAAGTGAGAACATGTGGTGTTTGATCTTCTGCTCTTGTGTCAGCTTGCTGAGAATGATGCTTTCCAGGTTCATCCATGTCCCTACAAAGGACACAAACTCATCGTTTTTGATGGCTGCATAATATTCCATGGTATATATGTGCCACATTTTCCCTGTCCAGTCTATTATCGATGGGCATTTGGGTTGGTAAATGCCAGATATAGGTGATGGGGAGGAAGGCAGCAAATCACACCGCCACGTGTGTACCTATGCAACAATCCTGCATGTTCTTCACATGTACCCCAAAACCTAAAATGCAATAAAATAAATTTAAAGAAAAAAAAAAAACCTTCATCTGTCACCTTAATACACATCCTGATTCCTCCTGTTTTCACTTGAGTGACTTACAAATTGAAGCTCTCGGGACTGCCTAATACCTTAAAGGCAGTCATGACTAAGTGCTCACTGCTAACATCCCTGCCTAGAGGCTGCTGGTTGTTGGTATAGAAAGAACATGGCCTTTTTGTATTCAATAAAATCCGCGGTAGTTGTGTGACCTTAAGCAACTTACTTAACTTCTCTGAACCCCAATCTTCACATTGCTTATTATGAGGATTAAATGAGATAATTTATGTCAAGTACATACTGTGATTCAGTGCCTAGATACACACCAAATATGAATCCCATTCTCCTTTCTCCAAGGGGGTAGGGAATTTACTAACTTCTAAGGTTTTTAATTTCATCTTTGGACAATTCGATTGAGGAACTTTTGCTTTGCTTTATGTTGAAGTCTGTTTTCCTCTAGCTTCTACATGCATTACAAAGCACATCTCATTCTTCTTACATAACAAACCTTGCAGATATCTGAGGATAGTTATGGCCTCTCTCAGATAGTTCTGTGGGTTCCCATCTGCCCCTGTTCCTTACTGAGGTACTGAAAGTGAGTACCCTCACTTTCCTCACTACACAGTTTGGTTTGTATGTATATTTTTTTGAGACAGCAAAGTTCACTAAATCTAACATTCCAGACATCCACTGTGTGATTGGCTCAAAGTAGAACTGGGTTGTCACCTCCTTTACTTAAATCTATGTTTGCAGCCTAAAGTTGGATTCAATATGTTAGCAGCCACATTACACCTTTGATATACCTACTGGTATACCGACAAGCAAACTGCCTTATGTTCCCACCCACATATACCACTGAGTGCTGCTTCCACATCCAGTCCAGTCCAACACCCCACCAAATGGGTAAAGCTCTTCCAGTGACGTTACCTATCAAGAGTTATCCAGAATCTTCCCTGCATCTCCATATGATGACACATCTTTTTTTTTTGAGACAGTGTCTCGCTGTTTTGCCTAGGCTGGAGTGAACTGGTGCAATCTCAACTCACTGCAACTTCCACTGTGCCCACCTCCCAGGTTCAAGTGATTCTTCTGCCTCAGCTTCTTGAGTAGCTGGAATTACAGGTGTCCACTACCACGCCCGGCTAATTTTTGTATTTTTAGTAGAGACGGGATTTCACCATGCTGGCCAGGCTGGTCTCAAACTCCTGACCTCAGATGATCCACCCACCTCAGCCTCCCAAAGTGCTGAGATTACAAGTGTGAGCCACCGCGCCTGGCATGACGACACAGCTTGAGCATTCAGAAATATGGAAAGGCATTTGCTTGTCTTATATATATAGCCAGATGCCTATAGGCCAGGAGTTGGGGACACTGGATCCCCAGTGAGGGAGAAAGTCCACTGGTCCCTGAGAAGACCTGGATATAAATACCAACCAAGGGCTAAACAATGTACTCAGCCCCAGAGGATGTGAAAGTCATAGTAAGGAGTATGAGATCTGGAAGGGACTTCCATGATCATTCATTCTGGTGACCTTATCTTACAGATGAGGAAATTGAGCTGAGGAAAGGAAACTGCCCAGTTTTACACATTTTTCTTTCTGGCCCAGGCTTTTAGGGCCATTCTTCTTGTTATGAACGTCTTCAGTTTTAGGCCCAGTTCCAGTAAGCCAACACTGTCCCCCATCCCAACCCAGCCCTGCCACAGAGCCCTTTTGCTTTAAGAACCAGAATCATTTTCTTTCCAGGCCTGATTGATTCCCGTGGCTTCCAGCTGAAATGATTCCCATGCTTATACCTTTGGACTATTTCTACCATCTTCAGGTAGGCTAAATGGATCCTACATCCTGCCTTTATCTCTTTGGCTATTTGCAGTCCATGCCATACAGTTACCCTCCAGCCTGGATTTGCTAAAAGGGTTTTTATTTAAAATATTTTGTTCATTTCTCCATATAACCGAGAAATGTCAGCACGTTAATATCTGAACTAATCTCTGTGTCATCAATAGCACCAACATTCCTTAGCAGACTATATTTTCTGATTTTTGGTTGAGACAGCATGGTCACTCTTCCAATGCTGTTGTAGGACCTAAAAGCAGCATCCCGCTAAGGTCGCGGTGCCCCCTGCCCAGTGCTGTTGTGCTGTGCCTTCTGGGCCCTGTATCCCCCGGAGCCACACAGATCCCCTTAGAGAGACCCATGTCTAGGGACAACGTTTTCTGGGCCCTGTATCCCCAGAGCCACACAGAT